GAAAATAGTTTATCATTTCGAGCGCCGATCGGCGCGGCGCGGCGGCGGTCGGTCGGTCTTGACTCGTGGAGTTAATCATGCGTTGCTGTCTTTCGACATTTTGCACACGCGGTGACTGCATAAAACATTTAATGAATTAAAACTCTATTTTTTGGCGACCAGTATTTAATTGGGGGTGTTCTAAAAGTTATTAAAGGTGACAGAAATAAGATTTCAATTCCAAAAGTCGCCTGGCTTAGATAAACAGATAATTCTCGAGTGACACACGTGATATACGTATTACCAAACCACCATAACTAAGCACAAGAAATTGTAGATCGGCAGATCGCCTTAGCTGAATTTTGCCCTTGCAGCGTGGAACGCGAACGGTGTTTACAAATTGTGAATGAACTATTGTCAAGAAGCAACCAATTGCGTGTCGTGTCTTGCTTGCTGTCAGCAGTCACACAAGCCAACCACCAATCACGCGGCGTTCGCTGATCGATCGATCCACAAAGTCGACTGAATCAAGCAACACAGAGGTAATGTTTATAACCAAAGAAACGAGAAGAAGAACAAAAGTAAAAAAGTCCCGAAATCGACTCTCAAGTCGCATTACAACACTTCAAGGGGGGTTTGTTTACGCGAGTCATTACGTGCATTGAAAACTCATTACTCGTACTTTTATTTTTTCCACTGGATAAAAATATCTTAGAAAGCAACAAAGCAAGTTCTCAATGATTTAAGAACCCTGTTTAAAATTTATATGGTATATTTATACCGCTTGTTCTCTTAACTTCACATCGCAAATACCGTACTATGTTAAAATACGCGAGCTCCGTTTGGGGGCGCGCGGCGCATGCAATGTTTACTTCTTCTTGAAAAGACATGTAAGCTGATAAGTGCTTGGGTTTGATCCGAGGTTGATGTCTTTGACATGTTGCCAAAGAAGAAGTGGGGAGAAACACTCGACTACATCTCGTGTTTCTCCCTACACTTCTTTCGTGCTCTAGCCGCTTCCTGCGTGCTTTATAACAGAACAGAGCACAGCCAAGGCTTCTCTATTTGTTAAATCGACTACATATTGTCATTTGCTTTCATAAACTGATCAGACAGAAAAGAAGAAGCATCAATATATTCAAGCATGTCCCTTCAGTGGTTCAGGTCTGCTGTGGTTACTCTTATCAAACTGGTGCTGGTTTTTGGTCGACATAATGTTGGAGCAGATTTCAGCGATAACTGTGACAACTCGCCTAATTCCCTCTCATGCATCCACACGTATGAAGAGCTTTATAACAGCTTAGCGAAGTCAGAAAACAGTTTTAACATTGAGTCAGCTATATATCCATCCAGGAGGCCTTCTTCTGTCCGTGTGTTTGTAAATTTACATGGTCCTAACGAGACAGAAAACCTCATCGTGCCATACACTTGGAGCCTTTCCTGTTTTTATGTTGCTGTCCCACCACTACTACTGGAAGTTTTGTCCCTCGGATCCATCCTTGTGACGCCTCGGACTCAAACACTGAATATAACTATTCCATATTTCTGCTGCAATGTGTCAAAGAAGGAGAATGAAAGAAGGATGATCATTAAAGAAAGGATTAAAAGAGCTCTCGCATCAGTAAGTGTGTTGTTTTCTCCCTTAATTTGGAAACAACAGGAAACTGAACAAAATAGCTGCTTTCAGCCCTCTTAGTCCTCCGTTAGTTTGCAAGTATACTAAAATGAAAGGAAAATAAACGCTTTTATTTGGTTAGCAATAAGGTACACGGACGTCCCCCTAAATGAGAATTTAAACAGCTTTTGGTCCTGAATTATTCTAAAGGTGTTTCGAGTACGTGACATTAGTAATTATCTTAACTTAAGTCTACTGCTAAGTCTTTCGAGCCAAGCAACCTACACTTTCCATATTTTTTACCGTTTCCCAAATACATGAAGCTATTAAGGGGATCTCTGCTCTACTGAGACTGGTTGCAAGTTCATCGCATGTATTTGTAACAAGCACCTTGAAAGTTTGCAGGCCGGTACCCATCAATATTCCTTAATGGAAAAAGGCATTGCTTAACTCACTAATAACTGTCTCTTAGCTATTGACCATCTTTTAAAGTTTATACAATTTTGATAT